GTACATGTTTGTGGTCTTGTACATTTCTCTTGTATGTTTACGTCTGTGTGGTGTTCTTTGCCACAATTGTGGCAATTTTTTTTTTTTTTTTAAGATTTAAGTAAGTGGCTAAATTTAAAACAATTGTTGAATCTTATAGGAAGTGGTATGTATTCTCTAACTGTCGTTCTTTAATAGCCGATTTTGATGTGATCAGGGGGAACGTGGCAATTGAATGTAATTATTACAAGTCCTGTCTCCCTTCTCTTTCTTTAATATTTTCTTAACGTCGCTTACTTGTTACTAGCTCTTTTTGGATTGTGTCTTCATCTATACCTCTTAGGTCGAAAGAATATATGACACCTTTAGTTTAGTTTAGTGAGTAATGAGGAGTTAGTTTCAAGTTTTAATATCGGGTGAAAAGGCTTTTAGCTGCGTTAGTCTGTTGGCTTGTTGGCTATTGAAGTACAATTAAGTAAGATTACTAAGTAAGCCTCTTATATTTTCCATTAATTTATTTTAATCGGACTACTTCTTAGTACCATTGGATCGGTGCCTAAGATCGGTAGCTGTGGTGTAAATAGCAAATCGCAGGCGGTAGCGAACTACGATTCGAGCGCCAAAAGCAGGTTCGCATATTTACGGCAGTTGCGTATTAACCCAGCGTTTCGTAACCCAGCTTTTTGTGAGTCGTTCAAATGATGTTGTCTGGTTTTATAATACAATGCAGTAGTAGGATTTTTATGATAATTAGGATCAAACAGAGATAGCACTGTTTTTAATTTTGTCTTGCCAACAATTCTTCAACGATGTTCAACTCCTCAGAGACAATTTCAGAGAGGTTAATGTTAATGTTAATAACACAAAAAAAGCGTTTTAATTATTAAAAAATTTTGTATGTAACTCTGTTGCTTTGCGAAAGCAATCAGAGCGGTAAACAAAAACACGACCGTTCACTGTGAGAGCGAAATGTTTTCAACAATCTGTAAATGATTTCGTTTACAAAATTTTGGATTGTGTATGAAATCAATACTGCGTGATTCCATTGGCGCAATAAAACTCATTAAGCATAATTTACAGTTACATAGTTTTTAGTTCTTCGACATAAGACAAAATTCCGCATTTAAAATAAATCCAATAAATAAATGCGATTAAAAATCATTCGCCCCGAATGTTTTAATAAAAAATACCGGAAAATACCTATATTTAACGATTTTTCTCAAGTGCCACCACTATAACAGCTGGTTTTTATATGCAAGGATAGCGCAATTTGGTTTTTTGGTTTTTTCGAATATAAAATATATTTTTTAAAAATAACAAAAGAATAGCAAGCGCAGCAAATCCTGGTCGCAGTACTACAATGCAATACTGCTGGATCTCTGACAGGAAAACTCCCACATATACGAAGATCTGTGCTCTTTTGTTGAAATTGTGGTAGTCTTCTTAGCAAACCCGTCAAGCAACATATCACCTTCCCTTCCTTGTCGTCCAAGTTGGCAAATGCCCCGATAGCATTGTGGATGCTTCTGCTGAGCATTAAAGAGCGAAGATATAAAATTTCATTAAAAGGGTATTATATAAAAAGTGAGGTATTTTTCAAAATTTCGTAATATTTAAACTAAAAAAATATTTAACCCTGATACTTTTGTTTACTTATTTGCCACAAAGTATCCGTAAAAAAATTGGCGACAAATAAAAAATGTGACTATTAAATGGTGTTCGGTTTGTAAAATAATGACATTTTATCGGGTCAATCCACAGTACGCCACGTAGACGTTGGTGGTCGTGAGTTGATTAGAATTAGACATATTGATGGCCTATGTTACCTTTTGGAAACTTAAGTTTTCTGACCAAATTACTTCCATGGTAATTAAAGCTAGGGAATTGCTTGGATTTATAAAAAGAGGTCACAAAGAGGTGTAACCATATATATTAGTAAAAATTAAAAGTGCAAGTTTATATGTAAGCATCCCGCTAACAGCCCGATAAAATATTTGTTCCTGGGATGCATATACCACGATATTACTTATAGCGGCATGATGAATTGTTATCAGATATATTGTTTAACTATGTGGACATAGAATTGGCAGGTGACCCCAATAAGACATGAAATCATTAGATTTGAAATTAGTTGTCTTTGTTGGGAGTATTTTATTGCGGTGACATCAATAATATATTTATAACTTTTAAAGTATATCATAAAAATGTTTCAAAGAGAAAACGAGAAAGAACGCTAACTTCGGCAAGCCGAAGTTCATATACCCTTGCAGCTATTGCAATAATTAAATACTTTTAAAAACATTAAAATTATTATTAATTTGCGTATATGTTAAAAAACATTGAAGCTATGATGATTTGCAGCTCAATTATTAGATGGTTATATTATATATTTTTATTATTTCTATGGGAGCTATGGGTTATAGTCGTCCGATTTTGATGAAATTTAAACCGTAATTCTGAAATAATTACCCAATACTATATGTCGAAGAATTAAGAAAAAATTAAAAAACAGCTAAGTTATAAATTTTTTTTTTCATTTTTTTTTCATTTTTTTTTCCGATTGTTCCTATGGGAGCTATATGATATAGTGGTCCGATTTTGATGAAATTTAAACCGTAATTCTGAAATAATTAACCATTAACATTTCAGAGAATTAAAAAAAAAAAAAATGAAAAACAGCAAAGTTAAAATTTTTTTTTTCCGATTGTTCCTATGGGTGCTATATGATATAGTCGTCCGATTTTGATGTAATTCTAAAATATTTAACCATTACTATATGTCGAAAAACTAAAAAAAAATTAGAAAACGCAAAGCTATAATTTTATTTTATTTATTTTTTCGATTGTTCCTTTGGGAGCTATATGCTATAGTCGTCCGATCCGGCTCGTTCCGGCTTATATACTACCTGCAATAGAAAAACAACTTTTGAGAAAGTTTCATGCAGATAGCTTTAAAACTGAGAGACTAGTTTGCGTAGAAACGGACGGACAGACGGACGGACGGACAGACGGACATGGCTAGATCAACTCTGCTAGTGCTATATATACTTTATAGGGTCGGAAATGTCTCCTTCACTGCGTTGCAAACTTCTGACTGAAATTATAATACCCTCCGCAAGGGTATAATAATCATAAATAAGCCGGTGACCGTGAATCTTTATAGGTGCCCTGAAAAAAGTGGTTTTGCAGTGTACATCATAACTCGTGACAGGATTATTTGTTTTTCGAGTTAATCAAAAACATTTTTTTATTGTTATTATTTGTTGAATAATGTGAAGAAGTAGTGTTCAAAATTTCAAAAGGATCGGTAAGTGTAGATTTTGAGTTCTGAAGTTCACGAACTCCAAAAAAAAAGAAGTTTTCGGATAAAACGACTTTTCGTACGTGAAAATAGGAAATAAACTATCAATAAAAGAACATTAATTTTTATACTTACATAGAGTCGTTAGTGCCAGCTCCACAGTGAAACAGAATATCCAATGCATCTTTTTTAAAAGAAATAGCAGCTGCTTTCTAATAGGGACTCCGCGCAGGTACACACAAAAAAAAAGTTAAAAATCAACCCAGACGCAGTTGGACTTGACAATATTCACCCTTTAGAAATTTCTAATATTTATTACTCACATTTTTAACACTCCCTTTACAATGTCTTTCCCGGACTGTTGTAATGTCGCCCAAATTGTTTCCATTCCATAGGCAAGGAAGAATATAGGTCCACTCTATCCTTCCTTTTTATCAAAGGCCTTGGAATACATAATAGCAGCCCAAATTAATTCGTTTATGCACGAAAATGCACTGCTAATGCACTACTAAACTGCCACACGGTACTTAGTCTAAGTGGCATGTAGTTTTCGATGCATCGTGCCGTACAACGACGCAGGTATCGTTGAGCTGTATTCGACACTGCTTCGGCTTAGATTGCATAAGTTTTCCCTGCGGCAGACCTAAAAAATGTATCGTCAAGTAATGGTGGTCGAAGCTGACCGAAACTTTAGAACTTCTCCTTTTTGGCGATTAGGTGTTTAAGGCGGCTAAGAGAGATGGCGCATGCCACAAAGGTTATTCAGAAAGATTTTTATGTTGACGGTTTGTCGACTGGCGCCGGACGCTATTAGGACCTGCAAGGTCATTGAGACGAAGTTTCTCAGGATTTGCAAGAGGCTGGATTTACACTGGCAAAATGGTTTTAAAAGAGCCAAGAGTTATCCGCATCTGAAAGCGCTGTCAGCCACTTACGGCAGGCTCAGACCCTTGGCGTGGTTTGGTTTCCAGTTAAAAATTACTTTCAATTTCGGTTGGATGACAAAATGTTTTGTCGGTGATTGCAGGGCCTGTGGCAGTGCGTGTATTCCAATACGTGGGAGACTTTTAAAGCAACGCTTCTGCAGCTTCCGAATGATGATGTCCTTTGCATTGCTTACATTTGTACTTTGACTTGCACTTGCTTCTAGGTCTCAGGAAGCTTTAACATAATAATTATTTACAGATAATTCATAAGGCATCCATACAATAAGATTTCTTGACATATTTTTTGCCTTAAAATGTCATGAAGGGTTACCTTGCTTATTTGATGCGTTGCTTTTAATGGTCACGTAAAGATCTCGATCCACCATTTCCATGTTTTTATCCGTATCGTGGGTCACTGGTGGTCCGGGTGGTGTGTTTCGGTGACAAAATTACCATTTCGGAATCGTCACTGTTCAGCTGTTTGAATCGATAGATTATGGTTACCTAAGAAAAAAAATCTGTCTAAGAGGTTCTGCAGCGACTTTTCCTTGCGTGAAATAATATTTAAAAATTGCTCGAATTTGCTGTCAAGATCTATTGAACGGTATATAGCATTATATCATATTGAATTCAATTTGGCTTCACAAGCGAAAAAACCGGTATGTTATTACCAAACATTATGTTCTGTAAAATAATGTATTCAAGTGCTAACTAACATTTATATCTATAAATAGTTTAATATTTTCCATGCACAGTACTACCAAACAATGTTTCTTTCTTTCTGTCTTCTTGCAGATCATGCGTAAGGAAAATGATGTAGGCACACAAAATGCTAAAAAAGTTAACAACAAAGATCATAAATTAAATGGAACTGCAAATGAAACTAGAAATAAATCAGGTCAGTAAACTACAATAATTCCACGGCATTACAAATTTAAATGGGGAAAATCCTTCAGAGTTGAAACCGTGATTTTCCGGTGCAATTGGTCTTCCTAATTCAGAAAATGACGCTTAACAATTTTGTATGGTACCATTTATTTTAAAGCGTAAAAAACGTTTTTACCCGTTTTATGTATAACTTATTATACCCTCCGACCCTCTTGATCAGGACCAATAACCGAGTTGACCTAGCCATGTCACTTTGTGTCCCTCTAAAAATAGGAACAACTCACGCAGAGCCGAGAATCGAAAACATTAAGCAGGCCATGGAACAGATACAGATGCTTGCATCTCAGCAGTCCAAATAAGCCATATCTTGCCTACGATTATCTCTGTGGAATGCCAACGGCGTTTTCCAGCATAAATCCAAAATTGTTCAGCTCCTGAACGAAAATCACATGGACGTTATGTTGCTAGTATCTTACAAGCAAATATAACTTTCAAAGAGAAGCTTACAAGTTCTACGCCATATTCTAGATGGCGAAGCCCACGGCGGAACCAGCATCTTAATAAGAGACCTCATCAAGCACCACTTTCACCAAAGGTTTGCACAAAATTATTTGCAAGCTACATTGATAAAGTTACAACTGGGCAACTGCAATCTTGCCATTGGTGCTGTCTATTGCCCACAATTCACTAGGAGTTCGCCTCATAGCAGCAGGAGAATATGCCAAACATACGCACAACTGTATAACGCAATGATCAAAACATGCAACAAACTGGATAACGTTTCTTCGGCTAGCTCTTCGTATTGTCCAAGCGATCCCAAAAGCATCCAAATTTATGTGATTTTTCTGTGACAAAAACATATCTCGCAATCTAATAATCTCACCTTTTATAGGGCCACTCACTAGTGCTATTACCTTTTCTTCAAAGCCCGGCAACAATTGAGCACCCCACCGGCTGTCGTTGCACAGAACCATCTGGCTTAAATACAAAAGGAATTTTAAACTAACCCTGCAGTTTAACATTAAGAAGGACATCTCCTAACCACAAGGAAAATATGCGCAGACCAACAAATACAAATCTATTCTTCAAATTGTACAGCTTGTTTTGGAAACACCAACAGAAAACTATCCTCAAAATAAAGTCTTGAGGAGGCTACTCGCAGACTTACTAGGGCTCTAAAGCATTGAGAAGATAAAGCACAAGGTCGGTTCATTGAGAAACTATCGCCAAATATTACGAAGTATCCCATGTGGAAAGCTTACTCTTATTCTAAGTCCACCGGCTGAAACAGTCGTATAAGAACTCTTCAGGCAACTGGGCCCGTATCAACAAAGACAGAGCTTGTACATATGCTTTACATCTTTGAAATGTATTCCAGCCAAAAGAGCAAAGATCTACGGATATGTGAGAGTTTTTTCCTGCCGGAGACCCAGCAGTAATGCATTGTGGTACTGCGACCAGGATTTGCTGCGCTCTTTTCAGTAATTTTTGTGCAAAATACATTTTATATTTAAAGGAAATTAAAAATTACGCCTTCTTTGCATACAGAAAACCAGCTGTTGAAGTGGTGGAAATAACATAATATCGAAAAAAGGCTACTTCCCAAAAAAGTGAAAAAGTGGATCTCATACCTTTCAAAACTGCTCCAAAAATGTCTTCTGACGAGCATAATACCATATCTGAGAGCGCACAATTTTATACCGGTCATAGAACCAAAGAGCAAGTCAACAGAATAACATCAGAAAGACTACATTCGTATAAACGCTCGTTTTCGTGTTTCGCCTGTTTTCTTACATTATTTTGGGTTATAAAGGGTTAATTTGATTAGTAATAATAGAGCATTTTAAAATTTGAACAAACTCATTTTGAAATTTCGTTCATTGATAAAGAAATAAATTGGTCAAATTGGTTTAAAAATACACGCTTAAATACGCTTAAATTTATGTCATTGCTTCTAATAAGAAAAAATAAGCTATCAGTCCCAGCAATACGTCGCTAAATCGAATTTGTAGGGCTAGGGAAAATAATTGGTGTAAACGGCTGTTAAGCATATTTCAAGTGCCATTTGAAGATTTTAAAAAGGAACAACATGAGTCGAAAAACACCCGTTTCCTCATCTTGGAAAACATAACATATATGGGCATTTCCAGAAAACGGTTTTATATTTATTTGTTTTTATTTTTGGGCGCTGTGCAAACAAGTGGCCACACGACACCAAGCAAAGCTTGTTACGCGCGAAACCCTCTTCCCCTGGGCGTAAAAACAAGATCGCGAGAGGTGATAGAAAATGGATAGTAAAGAACGGACAGAACGAACAGATAATGATGGTAAATTAATTAGGAGAAGTATTGGTATGATGGTAAGATAAGGTTTGCATCCCGGCAAGGCCCCGTAGACCAAATATTGAAAAGTTTTTCTGCACAGACTCTATTCGGCCATATGCACACCATATTGGGGACTGCAAACTGGTGAGCAGTACTGCAGGATTAGACGAACTAATGAATTAAATAAGGTCTTTGCGACATACGGATCATTGAATTCCTTTGACCCTGTGGCACGCCTGAAGTAACTTGGATCACCTTAGAGACCGAGCTTTTAAAAAGGACTCGTTGTGTCCTACTACTCAGAAATCCATGTAAGAAGACTGTTTGAAAACTGTAATAAGTCTAACTTCCGTACAGGAAGCGAATGATTTACAGAATCAAGTGCTTTGCTTAATCCGTGAAAACTACGTCAGTCTGAAGGTTATTTCTAAACCCATTTATAACGAAGGAAGTTAGCTCGGTCGCAGTAGACCTGCGTGTTGTAAATTCATGCTGCCCTGGCGATATAATCGATCTACAAAGATATAGCAAATGGGGGGTAATAACGTTTTCGAAAAGTTTTGGGATAATGGACAACTTGGAGTTACCTATATAAATGCTAGTATTTGATTTATTTCCCTTTTTATGAAGGGAAATAACAAATAATTTCTTCCAAATAGATGAAAACTCATTAGTTTTTAAGGAAAGGGTAATAAATTTGTGAAGTGGTCTGCACAGGGTATCTTCGCAGTATCTAAGCATCGACAGGTGAGAGGGGAGATGGGCTCCAAAACTGAGCTGCGGCAGCGCTGCATGGGCATAGAAGTCGGGGCGATAGAGAGCGGACTTCTTCGGGCGCGGTCAACGACGTTGCGTTAATTTTTGTTTCCGGTGAAAAGTACGAAAAATAAGCGTTATTTCGATCAACGAAGAGTCTGCACTCGTCTTGCTGGTTTTTTTTTTCGCGACTTTGACAATAGCTTTACCGAGTGTACTTTTTATTGGTTTCATTGTCGGCATAAGGTCAAATTTTGGTTTATTAGTTCTTTTCGGTTATAAGATTTTCGGTTATAAGAATAATGCCAGTATCTTTTTGCTTTTTAGTTTTATTTTTGTTTTATTTTTACTTAAGTTTTAGAATTTCGCTTAAAAACACACTGGCAGAGCGATCGAAAACACGACTGCACGTGTTTTTGTTTATAAACGAGTTTTCAATTTTAATTTTTAACCACTTTGATTAGCTAATTGAATCCCATTCCTCATTTAGTTTGTAAACAAAAAAAACCCCACTTTAGTTAAACATCTCTTGTTTCGCCGCTCGAAGACAATAAACAAAGCCCGTCAAACTGTAATCAACAATATCCGACAAAAACATAACATCCCATAAAAAAGTATAAGTTCTAAGTTAAGTCTCTTAAGTCAAGTATATATAGGTTTAACATTAAAAAAATTAAACAAAAAAATTATTTTTTGTTTTAAACAGCAAAAAACAACAGAATTAATTTGCAGACTCTAGTAATTCCTACGCAGTGCAAGTTTATTTCAAAACGGAGCCACGCCCACCCTTGCAGAGGGTATTATAATTTCAGTCAGAAGTTTGCAACGCAGTGAAGGAGACATCTCCGACCCTATAAAGTATATATATTCTTGATCAGCATCACTAGTCGATCTAGCCATGTCCGTCTGTCAGTCTGTCCGTCCGTTTCTACGCAAACTAGTCTCTCAGTTTTGAAGCTATCTGCATGAAACATTCCCAAAAGTTGTCTTCCTATTGCAGGTAGTATATAAGTCGGAACGAGTCGGATCGGACGACTATAGCATATAGCTCCCATTGGAAGAATCGGAAAAAAATACAAAAAAATTATAACTTTGCTGTTTTTTAATGTTTTTTATTAGTTCTTCGACATATAGTAATCGTTAAATATTTCAGAATTACGGTTGAAATTTCATCAAAATCGGACGACTATATCATATAGCTCCCATAGAAATAATATAAATATATAAAATAATTATCTAATAATTGAGCTGCAAATCATGATAGCTTCAATGTTTTTAAACATATACGCAAGTAAATCTTAATTTTAATGTTTTCAAAAATATTTAATTCTTGCAATAGCTGCAAGGGTATATGAACTTCGGCTTGGCGAAGTTTGTTTCTTTTCTTGTTTTAGAATATTTTTTGCAGTTATGTTCTGTTATGATGACACTGCATATTAGAAAAACGGAGTTCCTGCGTAACAAGCAGCGGAGAGCAACGGAGAGCACACATACTAATAAATGCACTTAATTTCTGTGAGTAATTTGCTCGGGGAAACTTGTCAATGTGGATTTATACTGTTCATGTGTGTTCTGCCGCTGATCCGCCTAGGATAGGGTCGCTGTAGCGGGGGGTGGGCTGCTACTCGTTCCTTGCTTGTAGTGTTGTCAATGCAGTTCGGCAAATAACGCCAGATATAACCCACATTTTTTGGAGGAATATTTATTTTGAAAGAAACTTTCCCTTCTTTTTTTATTTTTGATTGTTCCAATGGAAGATATATGATATAGTCGTCCTATTTTAATACTATACTTTTTCTTGAAGAAAACGGAAGGACAAACGATCATTGCTAGATCAACTCTCCTAGTGATGCTGATCAAGAACATATAATATATACTTTATAGGGTCTGCAAGGGTATAAAAATAAGGGAAAAATTATTAACTATTAAGATCATAGTTAGTTTTAAAAAACAACTTACGTTTTTTTTGTTAAAAAAAGATGAAAATATGGTTATTTTTTTCTTATTTATATCTTGAAAAATAAATTATTAATTTTATTATTGAATAAACTTTTTTAATTTGCGTATAAGATAGTTGCAAGGGTATAAGTTCTATTGTTTTATTCCTATTTCTTTACAATAAACAACCATATTTGTAGTTTTTGTTTTTTTAGTCGCGTACTTTAAAATACAAATCAATTTTTTTCACAGTATGTTTACTCAACAAAAAAGATGACAGAGAATATGACCTTGTTCCGCCTGATGGCGGTTGGGGCTGGCTTGTGCTGTTAGGTTCGTGCTTGACAAACATTCTTATCCCTGGTACCATTAAAAGTTTTGGAGTATTATTTTCGGAGTTTACCGAAGCTTTCAACTCTTCGCCCACAAAGGCCTCCTGGATACCGGCGCTGTGCTATTTTCTTTATAGTTCGTTGGGTAAGTTTCATCAGCATTAGTCAAGTGCGCACTAGCCCATCTTTATAGTTATGTAATGCAAATTTCAGGTCCCGTTTCCAGCATATTGTCTGTGAAGTACTCGTATCGTACAGTCACCCTTCTTGGTGGGGCCTCTGCTTCGTTGGGAATGATACTCTCCTTCTGGGCATCATCAATTGAGTACTTGTATGTCAGGTAAATATGGCGTCATAGATATGTGCTCCAAATTGTTTCATGTTTTTTTTCCAGCTATGGCGTTTTGGTAGGAATTGGTGCTGGGCTCTCTTTTCCACCCACAGTCTACATCGTAACGTCGTACTTTGCAAAGCTTCGCGGCTTGGCTAACGGCCTGTGCATCTCTGGCAGCGCGTTGGGCAGCATTATTCTACCGCCCCTCCTACGCTGGCTACTTGAGACCTACGGCTATCACGGCTCCTGTCTTATCATGGGCGGCATTACCCTGAACGTATTTGTAGCTGCTCTTTTCTATGAGCCTGTTGAGCAGCACATGGTACGAGTGCGACGTACACGGCAGGCTTTAGAGGACATTCCCGAAGAGGAAGACATTGGCATTGTGATGAAGTTCGAAAATGTAGACGTGTCTACAACAAATATCGAGCAAGCGGATAAGCAGTTGTTACCTTACAACTCCCCTCCATCGCCACTGTATCTACCCGATGATGAAAAGCTACAGTTTGTACGGAGTGCTTCCGCAGCGGTTGTCCAAAGCTACTCAAAACCTGGAGAAGAGTTTCAGTCTCGATCTCGAAAGATTAGTACACCGGTGAGGTTACCCCAACGCAATCAGACATTTACACCTGGACAACTAAATTCGCAATCTTCTTTGTACGCTGTACCCGAGGACCACTCAAGCTCGAATAAGCTTACTTTAAGGAATTTGTCAAAGTCGCGGCTATCTAAACGCTCGCCTTCAACCAGCAGTTTTTTATACGTCAGCACACCATATCACGGCAGCACATTGTCCTTCCAGCCGAAGGAATTCTCCTCGCACTTGTCCCTTCGGTCAGTCACAAGTAATGGAACTGGCGTTGCAGGCGGTTCGACCGGGCCAGATAAATCACAGACTGATGTCGAAACCAGGGGCAAAGCGCTAACCTCAGCACGGTCGAAGTTTTTCGATTTAAGCCTCTTAAAAGACCCGATGTACTTGGTCATATTAATGTCGAATTCGACGAATGCCATCAGTTACACTAACTTTATTATTTTGCTTCCCAGTTTTGGAGAAGCCAGGGGCTTTAACAAATCATTATCTGCGTATCTGCTTTCAATTGTCTCTGCCACTGATCTAATTGGACGTATTGGAGGATCAGCACTTTCGGACATGGGATACATACCTAAGACCTGGTACTTCGTTGGCGGCTTGTCAATATCAGGTCTTTCCCTTGCGCTTCTACCCTTTGCATGGTCTTACAGTTCGGTATGCTTCTGGTGCGCAGTTTTTGGCCTCGCTTCTGGAATCTACGTGGGAATTACTGCCGTTATCATGGCAGACATGCTAGGCACAGAACGATTAACGTCATCCTATGGCATAAGTCTGTTCGTTAATGGCTTGCTTCAGTTGGTTGGGCCTCCACTATGTAACTACTGGTTCGAGGCGGTCAATGATTATAATCCTCTCTTCCACGCTCTTGGCTTAACGCTGTTGGCCGGAGCCAGTCTTTGGAGCTTTATGCCTTGGATTAATCGACGCAAAGCCAAAACGGAGGAGAAATTAGAAGCACAAATTGATGAAGAGGCTGTCCAAAGCCACTAATCGGCGAAAAACTATCGTATCACACGACGTACAATAACAATTACATTTTAGGCTATAAAATGCGTACAAACACAGTTAGGTAAGTGTGCATACGGTAAACGGCCAAAACTATGGCAGCGCAATACAATTTTAGAAACTGTTAATTTGTTTCTTTCATCTGCTTTTTTTGTTACTGTTTAATCGTAACTATTACATTGTATAGTACTACAATTAATGTTTACCAGTACTAGAATAGCCTAAGTCGCATACATTAAAATGAATGAGAGTTAATTAAAAGTAACGATTTTATAACTATTTTTTCTAAAAACATGCCAAAACAAAATAAACAAAAAAAAATTTGCAAAAAATTAAATAAATAAAACGAAAAAAAAAAAACTAATTCGATATCGCTATCTTACCATACATAATTCTCCTAACAAAAGTAAATTGACAAATGCCATTAGTGTTTTTGGTTTCTGGCATTGGGAATTTCGATCTTAAGCGTCTATACCAGTTTAACCCACGAAAAAATGTACATTTAATTAAAAAAAAAATACTTAATTGAATGTTTTGAAATTTTCAGCACATAATTGGGTAAGTTTTTAACTTTATTTTAAGATTTTTGTTTTACATTAATATTGAGATGTAACGGTACTATGGAGTGTCGGTCGAGGCTACAAAAAAAAAACTCGAACTAAATGGCTGAAATCGGAAAATTCAAAAGGTTTTTGTAAGCAAAATATGTTTGCAGTCTCCGAGACTGCAAAATGCAATGGCTAAAAGTGCAGCGGATAGTAATTTAGCCCTGAGGAAAGGGAATAACACCTTCACCTCCACGGATCGGGAGAAATTAGAATTGCTATTTGACACGCATTTCCCGGGGAATACTCCCACTGCACAGTGGATCCGCTTGTATGGAAGAGCGGCCAAAAATACTAATAATGGTCATAACGTGCTGAAATTTATAACAATAATTTAGCAAATTTGTCTAAACATATAGCAACAAAAATCGGACTTATCGATCGGCTATATCCTATAGCTCCCATAGGAACAATCGATACCGAATTATAAAAACATATTTGTTTAATCTAATTTATTACGATTTTGGCATGGAAGATATTTTTCGTAGTTATACATATTCTTAAAAAACTAAAATAAAAATCAACAAACAAAATATAAATGAAACAAAAATTATAAAGCATCGTCAAGTAATTCGTAGACAGATGTAAGCAAACTCGACCTATCTTTTTTAGGAAGTTGTCTCTGTCCTGTTAAAAATGGATCTGAACGCAATAATAAATAGTTCATGACATCTGTGTTTGTTAAAGTACGAGATACTTTCCGACTGTGTTGAAGTCTACATTTTTTTAGTTCCTTGTTATTGGACTCTGCTGCTTCCTCTGAAAGCTCTCCTATCGACACTAATGCATACTCTATTACAGCTGAACCATGAATTAAGACCTTATGGACGGTAGCCGGTAAATAGTACCATGGATATGCAGCTATAAGATATTTGGCTGTATCCAGCGCGTAATTTTCAAATTTCTCCACATTAATTTTGAATCCCGATGCCATGGCTTGCAATAATGTTGCACATCTGTGAATCAAAGATGCATCGATTCCTGTTATTTCGGAGCTCAAATCTGCATTACAAAAGAATTTCCTTGCGATATTTCCGTCGTTTGAAGATCCTCTACCTCCATCTCTAGGTTTGTCCACTAGTATTCCCATTTTTTCGCGAAATTCCTCCTGAATGTGTTTCTTCCTGTTCAATACTTGCATCTTCTTTTCTTCATCGCGTACTTGCCACATTTTGACCTCTAGCTTATATGAAATATGTAAAAAATATTCAAAGAAGCGTATATAAGAATGTAGTGGAGATAAGCCAAATTCGTAAAATCTTGGGCGAACTTCTTTACTCAAACATTTTTGTATATTGTTCATTTCTGTTGGCTTTGCTCCACATATATAACACGTTGCCGAGGATGATTCGCTGATTGCGTTGCACACCTTTCCATCAACCATTGTAAGATGCAAGCTATGGGTAATAACAACTTTTTTATTAAAGACGCTTAATTCTTTTGGCTTTAATTGTTTAATTTTTGCGTCAAAATATTCTGCTTCGTCTTTCGACACTTTCGCGGTCTCTTTCTTAAATTGAAATCTTATTGGTCGACAGTAACGAGTCGATGATGGCCGGGGGTTTTTCCAAATTATTGTGTTATCTATTTGAGTAACCAGTTGGAGAGGTACATAGGATGTTACAAATAAGCTTCTGTCGTCCAAATCACCGTTTGAAAACTTTTGCTTATACTCGCTATGGCCTGTACTTCCATCGAAGCCCCATTTTCCAATTAAAGTTGAATTCGTAACTATATTTTCAGGCATAGTTTCAATGATGTTGTTTTGAAGCTCTATTATACTAGATGCCGTATTGTCTAGTAAGCTTTGTAGTTCGACTTCCGCACGAGATTCGTCTATATAAATACCATCAGGGTATCTTATTTTTTTGAGACTTAATAATCTTTGGTAACTGGGAAAAAATTCAAAGGATATTTTGGTATTTACAAAGTTTCTTATCAGCAAATATTGGTGCTTCGTCATGGAGGTCTCCATTAAAAGCGAAATAACTTCCATGGGATCTGCCGGCAGGAAATTTTGATTTCGATCATCATTACGTAGAGAAGAAACAGCGGATTCATCTATTTTAATGAGCTGACCTACACGTCGTCGCTTTGTTCTCTCTGAAGCCTCCTCAAATTCAAGTTTAGGACGGCCCCGATGAGCACTTTCCTCTATTTGATTTGATTTGCAATAGGGGCGTTTTATTGAAATTGATTCTTTTGTATTAAGCCATCCAGATTGATATTTAATAACTGCAGATTTTGTCCGTTTGTAATTTTTCCAAAAAGTTACAATTGTTTTGCAGAGGTTCTCAATTTTATTGGATATTTCGCTCAACTCTGGAATAATGTAGCCGTTGTTTTCAATATCCGCTTGCACATCGGAAATCAATTTCCTCATTTTTTCGGCGTTGGTTCCATTACCTGTGCACCACATATTAAAAATATGCAGACGTGGAAAAACACATTTTTGCGATGCACCTATCAAAATCCAAAATCAAAATTTAAATAATAATTTACAAATTAATATTTTTGCAAAAACACAAACCACTAAAGACGAAGACAAAGCAACAGCGCAAAAGCGCAACAGCACAATAAGCAAAGACTCACCTTTAACTGCTTTAGTAAATTTAGTAGAAAACACACATCGGCAAATTTCGGCAGCTAATTTTAAAATATTTAGTAACCTAAAATAAGACGATCACAAAAACATACAAACCAAGTTCTGGGTTTTCTTGGAACATAACTAAAAGTCTAACTAAACATAAAATATTTTTTAAAAAAATATACAAAAAAGGGTTATTCGATGAAATTAGTTTTACGAAAAAACTTTTTCAGGAAAGTTAATTATTAATATCTCAATTTAAAGTAAATACCTTCAATTTCATAATTCATGTTAAATTATTCAAATCGGAGCACTGCAGCGTACGTCTGATCACTTTAAAGGGCGAATTGAAAGAGAGAAATAACTTCCAAAGCGCAGCTGCGTTGCCAAAATGAACACGTGTTCACGATTGCAAATCTATTTTTAGAAAGTACCGTTAGATTTCTAGTAAAATCCGGTATGCCAAAGAGAAGTTTGGACTTTTAAGAGACAATTTTGATACATTTTGCTTAAAAAATATGTCATAAAATTTTTTGATTTTTGGCCTCTGACGGAACCACTGTGCACTGTGGGAAACGCAAGGCGTGATCAACATAGAACCCCTAGGACAGTAGCCAGTGACTGGGCAACAGCCAAATCTATAGTTACGCCCGAGAAACTCAAATGGGCTATTGGAACCTTCCAACCATTTAAATCACCGGGGTTAGACATGATCTCTCCAGCTTTCTTACAGCAGGGGCAGGAACTACTCCTAACCCGCCTAAGAAGACTAATGGTGAACAGCCTAGCCCTTGGGTATATCCCAAGTGCATGGTGCAGCGCTAGGGTGGTCTTCATCCCCAAGATCGGGAAGAAAGACATCACCAGCCCAAAGTCCTTCAGACCTATCAGCTTAACTTCGTTTTGTCTTAAAACGCTGGAAAAAACTGGTAGACTACAACATCAGAAGAACAGCTCTCAGAGACTGTCCGCTGCAAAACACACAGCATGCATATAGAGCAGGCCGTTCAACAGACACTGCACTTTATCAACTATGTCGCACCCTAGAAGGGGCAATTGACAGCAAAGAAATAGCTATCTGTGCCTTTCTAGACATAGAGGGAGCCTTCGACAACACATCACATGATGCAGTTCGAGCTGCCCTGTCCAGAAGGAACATAGACATTACTACGAGCAAATGGATTGGCAGCCTACTTGAATCCAGGCAAGCAACATGTACACTGGGTTCGGATAGAGTGACAATTGCAACCAGCAAAGGCTGCCTGCAAGGAGGAGTACTGTCCCCTTTGCTTTGGAGTCTGCTAGTAGATGACCTTCTCAGCAAACTTGCTGGAAAAGGAATCCAATGTCAGGGATACGCCGATGACATCGTGATAATCGCCAGAGGCAAATTTGAAGCGACACTCTGCGACATCGTCCAACTCGGACTAAGTACAACGCTAGACTGGTGCAGGGAGGTTGGACTCAACTTAAATCCTGCTAAAACAGTCATCGTTCCTTTCACAAGGAAGTACAAACTACAGAGAATGAGAAAAATCTCACTGCTAGGAACTCCTATAGAAACTAGCCGAGAGGTTAAATATCTAGGAATCACGTTAGATAGTAAACTGACTTTCGCTTCCCATGTCCAAAAGACATTGGAAAAGTGTTACAGAGCACTCTATACCTTTTGGAAAATTGCTGGGAAATCCTGGGGAACCAGGCCTCAGATAATACGATGGCTATACTTAATGATCGTGAGACCAATCCTCACTTACGGAGCACTTGCATGGGGCAAACGAGCTAAGCTCATCAGCATGCAAAACCAGCTAGGAAAACTACAAAGACTTGCCTGTGTATGCATGACAGGGGCAATGAGAACCTGTCCTACAGCTGCCTTAGAAGTTTTGATGGAGCTAACACCACTCCACTATGTGATTGATATCCAACGCAAAGCTACACTCCTGAGAATAAGCACTGAGGGCACAGGTAGTGGTTGCATTCTAAATAACAGGGATGCGACTAATTTGTTAGGTGAGGTGCCCCTAATACTCCACCCTAGGGATGAAATGACAGCCGAACTAATCTTCGAGCAGAACTTCACAGCACACCTAGGCAATAAGAAAGATTGGACCACACTGTCTGAAGTGCATCCGATGGCTAAACACACCATTGCATGGTACACAGATGGATCCCTGACACAACAAGGCACGGGCCTTGGAGTGGTAGGCCCTCGCATAAAATACCACGAATCCCTTGGCCAATACACCAGCATATTCCAGGCTGAGGTATGCGCCATTGGACGTTGTGCAGAGCTCAACATACAGCGTGGATACAAGGAAAAGGACATATCGATCCTTTCGGACAGCCGAGCAGAAATTACTGCTTTACATAGCAACAAAATCACCTCGAAGCTAGTCCTAGAGGTGAAGAGTAAGCTAAATATACTGGCCAGCCGAAACAGGCTGGCCCTCAGATGGATTCCGGGACATAAGGATATATCCGGAAATGAACTTGCCGATAAAATTGCAAAACTAGGAGCCGAACAGCCCCTGGTAGGCCCAGAGCCCTACTGTGGCATAGGGAGGCACACTATAAAAGAATACCTTAGGAAAGCGGAAGGCGCCATGAGACAAGAACACTGGAGAAATACCCCAGGTCTAAGGCAAGCCAAAACTCAAATAAAGAACTATAACAAGAAGAGGTTCAAGAAACTTATTCAACTGGGGAAAAACTCACTTAGGATCGTTACCGGATTACTAACCGGGCACTGTAGACTGAAAAGTCACCTAGGTAAGATGGGAATAACCAGCAGTGGAACTTGCAGATTCTGCGACATAGAGGACGAAACCTCTAGACACATCATTGCAGACTGTCCGGCGTTAGCGAGCATAGAATGTAAAATCTTAGGAACCAGAACTCTTACACCTGAGCTCCTAGTAAGAATCAACCCACTAAAACTCCTCGACTTTATTCGAGGAAGTGGGTTGATATCTGAGCTGTAGGCTCTGAATGGGGGTACAATAGATCTTACAGGTCGCGGTACACTGGACACCCCGATATTAATAATAATAATAATGTTTCTCCTACAATGACCGACGATCTTTAAAAAATATCAAATACTAACAAAATGGTAGGTTTGAAAAAAGTCGTTTTTAGGAGTGAAAAAACGACTTTAAATTCCGCAAAATGGAAAATTTTCAACCAATCCAAAAGTTCGTAAGTCAATGAGGTAAGTTTCGAGACAAACGCGTTTTTAAGTTTTAGGTGCAGCAGTATATGTCTGTGAGCGGTCGCTCATCACAACGCTGCCATTCAAAAACTATTTTAGATACGACCTTGCCGCTTTCAAAAGATATTTTTGACATTGTAAACTATCGATAAGCATGAGTCGAAACACACCCGTTTCCTCATCTTGGAAAACATAACATATATGGACATTTCCAGAAAACGGTTTTATTTTTATTTGTTTTTTTTTTTTGGCGCTGTGCAAACACGTGGCCATTACGACACCAAGCAAAGCTTGTTACGCGCGAAACACTCTTCCCCTGGGCGTAAAAACAAGATTGCGAGAGTTGATAGAAAATGGAAAGTAAAGAACGGACAGAAGAGTCGATATTGCTCTGAGGCTATCCCAAATCCTGCTGGACGTTTTCGATTCTCGGCTCTCTTTGAGTTGTTCCTGTTCGTAGAGAACTGGCATAGGAGATACCGTTGGTGGTGATTGAAGGACCAAACGAGGATCTGGTTACTCTGCCGAAGAAAACCTCAATTTCCTTTAAAGCCTCTTTAATTTCGGAGGGGTCCACATCGGGTTCTATTCCTTTTACAAACACTAGCAATCCTTTGCTACTTTTAAGCTGGTACGTATAGTAATTCTTTTATTTATCGTATAGGTATAGGTATTTTGTAACGGCAGGTAAATCTTGTTCTGTTTTAGTTTGAAGTTTAGTTTCACTAATACGGAAAAATAACATGAAAGCTCAACTATTTTGTTGACCAGGGCATTCGAATTCTTCTCCTAAATAAATATAGGTGGGGCTTTGATTTTCTTGAAGCTAATTCTACAGGCTCGGATTGGTTTGTTTCAGACTCCGCCAAGACCGAAAATTTGTTATTAGACGTGTCTACAACAAATATCGAGCAAGCGGATAAGCAGTTGTTACCTTACAACTCCCCTCCATCGCCACTGTATCTACCCGATGATGAAAAGCTACAGTTTGTACGGAGTGCTTCCGCAGCGGTTGTCCAAAGCTACTCAAAACCTGGAGAAGAGTTTCAGTCTCGATCTCGAAAGATTAGTACACTGTGAGGTTACCCCAACGCAATCAGACATTTACACCTGGACAATTAAATTCGCAGTCTTCTTTGTACGCTGTACCCGAGGACCACTCAAGCTCGAATAAGCTTACTTTAAGGAATTTGTCAAAGTCGCGGCTATCTAAACGCTCGCCTTCAACCAGCAGTTTTTTATACGTCAGCACACCATATCACGGCAGCACATTGTCCTTCCAGCCGAAGGAATTCTCCTCGAACTTGTCCCTTCGGTGAGTCACAAGTTGTGGAACTGGCGTTGCAGGCGGTTCGACCGGGCCAGATAAATCACAGACTGATGTCGAAACCAGGGGCAAAGCGCTAGCCTCAGCACGGTCGAAGTTTTTCGATTTAAGCCTCTTAACAGACCCGATGTACTTGGTCATATTAATGTCGAATTCGACGAATGCCATCAGTTACACTAACTTTATTATTTTGCTTCCCAGTTTTGGAGAAGCCAGGGGCTTTAACAAATCATTATCTGCGTATCTGCTTTCAATTGTCTCTGCCACTGATCTAATTGGACGTATTGGAGGATCAGCACTTTCGGACATGGGATACATACCTAAGACCTGGTACTTCGTTGGCGGCTTGTCAATATCAGGTCTTTCCCTTGCGCTTCTACCCTTTGCATGGTCTTACAGTTCGGTATGCTTCTGGTGCGCAGTTTTTGGCCTCGCTTCTGGAATCTACGTGGGAATTACTGCCGTTATCATGGCAGACATGCTAGGAACAGAACGATTAACGTCATCCTATGGCATAAGTCTGTTCGTTAATGGCTTGCTTCAGTTGGTTGGGCCTCCACTGGTTCGAGGCGGTCAATGATTATAATCCTCTCTTCCACGCTCTTGGCTTCACGCCTTTGGCCGGAGCCAGTCTTTGGAGCTTTATGCCTTGGATTAATCGACGCAAAGCCAAAACGGAGGAGAAATTAGAAGCACAAAGCCACTAATCGGCGAAAAACTATCGTATCACACGACGTACAATAACAATTAGATTTTAGGCTATAAAATGCGTACAAACACAGTTAGATAAGTGTGCATACGGTAAACGGCCAAAACTATGGCAGCGCAATACAATTTTAGAAACTGTCCAAAGCCACTAATCGGCGAAAAACTATCGTATCACACGACGTACAATAACAATTACATTTTAGGCTATAAAATGCGTACAAACACAGTTAGATAAGTGTGCATACGGTAAACGGCCAAAACTATGGCAGCGCAATACAATTTTAGAAACTGTTAATTTGTTTCTTTCATCTGCTTTTTTTGTTACTGTTTAATCGTAACTATTACATTGTATAGTACTACAATTAATGTTTACCAGTACTAGAATAGCCTAAGTCGCATACATTAAAATGAATGAGAGTTAATTAAAAGTAACGATTTTATAACTATTTTTTCTAAAAACATGCCAAAACAAAATAAACAAAAAAAAATTTGCAAAAAATTAAATAAATAAAACGAAAAAAAAAAAACTAATTCGATATCGCTATCTTACCATACATAATTCTCGTAACAAAAGTAAATTGACAAATGCCATTAGTGTTTTTGGTTTCTGGCATTGGGAATTTCGATCTTAAGCGTCTATACCAGTTTAACCCACGAAAAAATGTACATTTAATTAAAAAAAAAATACTTAATTGAATGTTTTGAAATTTTCAGCACATAATTGGGTAAGTTTTTAACTTTATTTTAAGATTTTTGTTTTACATTAATATTGAGATGTAACGGTACTATGGAGTGTCGGTCGAGGCTACAAAAAAAAAACTCGAACTAAATGGCTGAAATCGGAAAATTCAAAAGGTTTTTGTAAGCAAAATATGTTTGCAGTCTCCGAGACTGCAAAATGCAATGGCTAAAAGTGCAGCGGATAGTAATTTAGCCCTGAGGAAAGGGAATAACACCTTCACCTCCACGGATCGGGAGAAATTAGAATTGCTATTTGACACGCATTTCCCGGGGAATACTCCCACTGCACAGTGGATCCGCTTGTATGGAAGAGCGGCCAAAAATACTAATAATGGTCATAACGTGCTGAAATTTATAACAATAATTTAGCAAATTTGTCTAAACATATAGCAACAAAAATCGGACTTATCGATCGGCTATATCCTATAGCTCCCATAGGAACAATCGATACCGAATTATAAAAACATATTTGTTTAATCTAATTTATTACGATTTTGGCATGGAAGATATTTTTCGTAGTTATACATATTCTTAAAAAACTAAAATAAAAATCAACAAACAAAATATAAATGAAACAAAAATTATAAAGCATCGTCAAGTAATTCGTAGACAGATGTAAGCAAACTCGACCTATCTTTTTTAGGAAGTTGTCTCTGTCCTGTTAAAAATGGATCTGAACGCAATAATAAATAGTTCATGACATCTGTGTTTGTTAAAGTACGAGATACTTTCCGACTGTGTTGAAGTCTACATTTTTTTAGTTCCTTGTTATTGGACTCTGCTGCTTCCTCTGAAAGCTCTCCTATCGACACTAATGCATACTCTATTACAGCTGAACCATGAATTAAGACCTTATGGACGGTAGCCGGTAAATAGTACCATGGATATGCAGCTATAAGATATTTGGCTGTATCCAGCGCGTAATTTTCAAATTTCTCCACATTAATTTTGAATCCCGATGCCATGGCTTGCAATAATGTTGCACATCTGTGAATCAAAGATGCATCGATTCCTGTTATTTCGGAGCTCAAATCTGCATTACAAAAGAATTTCCTTGCGATATTTCCGTCGTTTGAAGATCCTCTACCTCCATCTCTAGGTTTGTCCACTAGTATTCCCATTTTTTCGCGAAATTCCTCCTGAATGTGTTTCTTCCTGTTCAATACTTGCATCTTCTTTTCTTCATCGCGTACTTGCCACATTTTGACCTCTAGCTTATATGAAATATGTAAAAAATATTCAAAGAAGCGTATATAAGAATGTAGTGGAGATAAGCCAAATTCGTAAAATCTTGGGCGAACTTCTTTACTCAAACATTTTTGTATATTGTTCATTTCTGTTGGCTTTGCTCCACATATATAACACGTTGCCGAGGATGATTCGCTGATTGCGTTGCACACCTTTCCATCAACCATTGTAAGATGCAAGCTATGGGTAATAACAACTTTTTTATTAAAGACGCTTAATTCTTTTGGCTTTAATTGTTTAATTTTTGCGTCAAAATATTCTGCTTCGTCTTTCGACACTTTCGCGGTCTCTTTCTTAAATTGAAATCTTATTGGTCGACAGTAACGAGTCGATGATGGCCGGGGGTTTTTCCAAATTATTGTGTTATCTATTTGAGTAACCAGTTGGAGAGGTACATAGGATGTTACAAATAAGCTTCTGTCGTCCAAATCACCGTTTGAAAACTTTTGCTTATACTCGCTATGGCCTGTACTTCCATCGAAGCCCCATTTTCCAATTAAAGTTAAATTCGTAACTATATTTTCAGGCATAGTTTCAATGATGTTGTTTTGAAGCTCTATTATACTAGATGCCGTATTGTCTAGTAAGCTTTGTAGTTCGACTTCCGCACGAGATTCGTCTATATAAATACCATCAGGGTATCTTATTTTTTTGAGACTTAATAATCTTTGGTAACTGGGAAAAAATTCAAAGGATATTTTGGTATTTACAAAGTTTCTTATCAGCAAATATTGGTGCTTCGTCATGGAGGTCTCCATTAAAAGCGAAATAACTTCCATGGGATCTGCCGGCAGGAAATTTTGATTTCGATCATCATTACGTAGAGAAGAAACAGCGGATTCATCTATTTTAATGAGCTGACCTACACGTCGTCGCTTTGTTCTCTCTGAAGCCTCCTCAAATTCAAGTTTAGGACGGCCCCGATGAGCACTTTCCTCTATTTGATTTGATTTGCAATAGGGGCGTTTTATTGAAATTGATTCTTTTGTATTAAGCCATCCAGATTGATATTTAATAACTGCAGATTTTGTCCGTTTGTAATTTTTCCAAAAAGTTACAATTGTTTTGCAGAGGTTCTCAATTTTATTGGATATTTCGCTCAACTCTGGAATAATGTAGCCGTTGTTTTCAATATCCGCTTGCACATCGGAAATCAATTTCCTCATTTTTTCGGCGTTGGTTCCATTACCTGTGCACCACATATTAAAAATATGCAGACGTGGAAAAACACATTTTTGCGATGCACCTATCAAAATCCAAAATCAAAATTTAAATAATAATTTACAAATTAATATTTTTGCAAAAACACAAACCACTAAAGACGAAGACAAAGCAACAGCGCAAAAGCGCAACAGCACAATAAGCAAAGACTCACCTTTAACTGCTTTAGTAAATTTAGTAGAAAACACACATCGGCAAATTTCGGCAGCTAATTTTAAAATATTTAGTAACCTAAAATAAGACGATCACAAAAACATACAAACCAAGTTCTGGGTTTTCTTGGAACATAACTAAAAGTCTAACTAAACATAAAATATTTTTTAAAAAAATATACAAAAAGGGTTATTCGATGAAATTAGTTTTACGAAAAAACTTTTTCAGGAAAGTTAATTATTAATATCTCAATTTAAAGTAAATACCTTCAATTTCATAATTCATGTTAAATTATTCAAATCGGAGCACTGCAGCGTACGTCTGATCACTTTAAAGGGCGAATTGAAAGAGAGAAATAACTTCCAAAGCGCAGCTGCGTTGCCAAAATGAACACGTGTTCACGATTGCAAATCTATTTTTAGAAAGTACCGTTAGATTTCTAGTAAAATCCGGTATGCCAAAGAGAAGTTTGGACTTTTAAGAGACAATTTTGATACATTTTGCTTAAAAAATATGTCATAAAATTTTTTGATTTTTGGCCTCTGACGGAACCACTGTGCACTGTGGGAAACGCAAGGCGTGATCAACATAGAACCCCTAGGACAGTAGCCAGTGACTGGGCAACAGCCAAATCTATAGTTACGCCCGAGAAACTCAAATGGGCTATTGGAACCTTCCAACCATTTAAATCACCGGGGTTAGACATGATCTCTCCAGCTTTCTTACAGCAGGGGCAGGAACTACTCCTAACCCGCCTAAGAAGACTAATGGTGAACAGCCTAGCCCTTGGGTATATCCCAAGTGCATGGTGCAGCGCTAGGGTGGTCTTCATCCCCAAGATCGGGAAGAAAGACATCACCAGCCCAAAGTCCTTCAGACCTATCAGCTTAACTTCGTTTTGTCTTAAAACGCTGGAAAAAACTGGTAGACTACAACATCAGAAGAACAGCTCTCAGAGACTGTCCGCTGCAAAACACACAGCATGCATATAGAGCAGGCCGTTCAACAGACACTGCACTTTATCAACTATGTCGCACCCTAGAAGGGGCAATTGACAGCAAAGAAATAGCTATCTGTGCCTTTCTAGACATAGAGGGAGCCTTCGACAACACATCACATGATGCAGTTCGAGCTGCCCTGTCCAGAAGGAACATAGACATTACTACGAGCAAATGGATTGGCAGCCTACTTGAATCCAGGCAAGCAACATGTACACTGGGTTCGGATAGAGTGACAATTGCAACCAGCAAAGGCTGCCTGCAAGGAGGAGTACTGTCCCCTTTGCTTTGGAGTCTGCTAGTAGATGACCTTCTCAGCAAAATTGCTGGAAAAGGAATCCAATGTCAGGGATACGCCGATGACATCGTGATAATCGCCAGAGGCAAATTTGAAGCGACACTCTGCGACATCGTCCAACTCGGACTAAGTACAACGCTAGACTGGTGCAGGGAGGTTGGACTTAACTTAAATCCTGCTAAAACAGTCATCGTTCCTTTCACAAGGAAGTACAAACTACAGAGAATGAGAAAAATCTCACTGCTAGGAACTCCTATAGAAACTAGCCGAGAGGTTAAATATCTAGGAATCACGTTAGATAGTAAACTGACTTTCGCTTCCCATGTCCAAAAGACATTGGAAAAGTGTTACAGAGCACTCTATACCTTTTGGAAAATTGCTGGGAAATCCTGGGGAACCAGGCCTCAGATAATACGATGGCTATACTTAATGATCGTGAGACCAATCCTCACTTACGGAGCACTTGCATGGGGCAAACGAGCTAAGCTCATCAGCATGCAAAACCAGCTAGGAAAACTACAAAGACTTGCCTGTGTATGCATGACAGGGGCAATGAGAACCTGTCCTACAGCTGCCTTAGAAGTTTTGATGGAGCTAACACCACTCCACTATGTGATTGATATCCAACGCAAAGCTACACTCCTGAGAATAAGCACTGAGGGCACAGGTAGTGGTTGCATTCTAAATAACAGGGATGCGACTAATTTGTTAGGTGAGGTGCCCCTAATACTCCACCCTAGGGATGAAATGACAGCCGAACTAATCTTCGAGCA